CAACGTTGGTAATCGACATATGAGGAGGATCGAATGGTTCAGGGTCATTCCCATGCGCACGAACGGTTCAAGTTCACACCCGCCCGAATTTGAACGAACGACTTTAATGAACCATGCATCGATCCAACGGCCCGCACGATCAACAATTAAGATTTGAGGGGCTAGTTGATCCAACGGTTAGGATCGCACAGGGGAGGAAAAACCAGGTTTCCCTTAAGTGGCCCTAATCGGATGGCTCCCATTGCACCACATTAGCCCAATCGGACGACCAAGATTAAATGGAGAGAGGAATTTAAACCTCTCTTTAGTCCTCCCAAAACCCTAGCCGACACAGTTGATAGGAGAAGAAACGACGTCGAACACCAGAGAGAGTGCCGGCGACGGAGAGATGACGACTCCGTCATGCCAGAGACCCAACTGACAACAATAAGCTCGATTTTTTCCTCCTTTCTTTATAAAATCCTTCCCTTTTACGTTTAAATTGATTTCGGCCGTAATCCCACTAGGATCCAACATAACCGAGAGAGAGGAACGTCGGGGAAGAAGAACCAGCTGGCGGAGCTCGGTTCCACTGCCGTGTCGGAACTCTAAACCGATCCCTGTGAGTATTCTCGCCCCTTTTCACTGTCTTTTATTTTTTTTTACACCACTTTAACACAAACTCTTTAATTCCACCAGAAAACTCGAAAATTCGAGAGTCCGGAGCCACCACGATTACAATTGAGAGAAGTAGTGTTTTGGCCTCCGATCCGAGGTAAGAATACCTCATCCATTTCCCCTATTATGGTTAAATCAAAATTTAATCGATAATAAGCAGCAATTCTCAACGATTTTGTGATTACTTGATTAGTAAATACAGGTTGTCGATGGAGCCAATCAGTCAATTTAATTTATGTCCTTTATTAGTTTTATTTGTATTTTTTATTTTTATTTTATTTTTACTTTCATTCTTTTTTATTTATTTATCTTTCAATTTTCTATTTCCATTCAGTTTGTCTATTCTGTTTTCATTTTTATTTCGTTATACTTATCTAGAATCAATGTATTTATAACGACTCTGGAAATTCAAAAGGAAATACATATAATAATCTGAGTGCGGAAGCGAAATAAAAGATTAAAATTAATATCCCTAACACAATAACTTAAAAGTACTAAACAATATCACGGAATAAATTCTCTAAAAGAAATATGAGAAATAAAAAAAATAAAGGAAACTATAAGGTATCTAGCGTCTATTCGCCGTCTTATTGTGGATCGGGCTCGGGAACCAGGTCCTCCTGATATGAAATGGTTAAATAAGGAATGAGCTACACTAACCCAGTAAGGACATTGCACTAATTACTGTCACAGAAGTAAAGGTTGGTAGAAAATTAAAACAACCAATGGAGCAGTAGATTTAAACAAATTCATTTATCAATAATCAAACCATTTACCGTATACTTACCGCAGTGAGATTTATAAAAACAACTTATGGAAACAATAACATTGTAAATATCATGAATTCATATATAATCTGTAACATAGCACATATCATACTTTTATATTCAAATCATCAAACAACAATTTTCCTTTTTATCAGCCTACTAGTATCCATGGGGATCCATAGGGGTCCCCACTACATGTGAACCATTCCCCTTAACAAACTTAATTCCATGGCCGTTCCCATACCTCATTCGGTATGAGCACCAAAACAATATATCTCAATACCCCGTCCAGTTTGAGGGTGAAGCGGGTCGTCCCAATACCCCGTCTGGTATGAGCGCCAAAATAATAAAGTCTCCATACCCCATCCGGTATGAGACAACGTTTACGGTAGGGTTCCCTATGAACCCGGTCCGTCCACCATCTTTCAAGATATCTAGTGAGGCTGTTATCTTATCCATTTATCAAATCACATCCCATTCCTATTTGTCATTAGTCTCCGTTACCAACTCAAACATGAATACATACACAAGTAACGTGCATCCAACAAAGCAAGCGTATCTTAGATTCCTAAAATCAAACAGTAGTAAAGTAAGCAGTGATACATGCATTCAAAACTATAGAATAAATAAACCAGATACCATAATGCATTTAAACTGTAAAATAAATCAAACAGGAATTGACATAGAAATATGTCTGGTTCGGGCTTCATTAGCAACTGTAATTAATTATTCATATATATTTAATTTGTATAAATTACAGTATTATCATTTATTCAGACTTAAATTCCATGATAGGAAATAGGGTGAGGGGTCCTTACTTGATTTGGTGTCAAAAATTAGATTTTCACCACACCTACGGGCGGTCACTAGGTTCCTTGAATTTTTTTTTCGGGAATTGAAACGCGCTTACGGTACCTACACATGTCCCAAATAACCCAAAAATCAGACCCAGGGCCTATTTGACCAATTTCAGAATTCTAGCATGGCAGCTCCGCCGTGCTCAGGCGACGGCACCGCTGCTCGTAGCGGCGATCTGCCTCGGGTTGGTTGTTTTCGGCCATTTTTAGGCAAATTCAACCAAATTTGCATCGGTTCCTGTGAGAAAACACCCTTAGGGCCCTTGGTGGGCTGAAAAAATATAAAAAATTGAAACTTACCGGCGGTGGGGCTTTCCAGTGCGGCGGCTCCTCTGCCTCACGTCGTAGTTTGGTGTTTTGCTCCGGTCAACCTGTAGAGGAGGGAATGGTGATCACAAAGGTGGAAAACTCACATCGAACTAGAATCGAAAAGGGCCTCATCGGAGGTAAAAATCGAGACACCCTGCGGTTGCGCCGCTGGGCTCTGGCGGCGTTTTTAAGCCAATTGGCCGGTGCTTTCGCTCCGATTTGGCCATAGGTGGGTTTAAAATTGAATTCTAAGTAAATAGTAGAATTTTTACCTCGTTTGGCGGCCGAAAATTTCTTCGGTACGGTGGCAGGTGGCGGCGGTCGGCTCCCCAGCGGCTGGGTTATATTCTCCGATGAGGGGCTCTGGCGGCTAGGGTTAGGATTTGGGTGCGGATGAGGTTATTTATACCCATCTGCTTTTGATCTCAGTCGTCCATCACTTTTTTAATCTGGACAGTCCGATCGCGATTAAATAGGGAATGAATCTGAGTCGTTCATCTCGATTCAATCTGGAACGTCCGTGCGTGATTCAATCTGGACCGTCTGTGCGCGCGGAAACGAATCTCAGCTGTTCGATCGCGCGCACGCGGATCGTCCACGCAGCTCCCCGCTGCGTGGCCTCCTATATTAGTGTCTTTGCCACCTGACGGTCCTGGTTGGCTAGGGCTGCTGACTGGGCAGCTGACGTGGCACAATTTTTTTAAATTGCGTTTTGACCTTCAATTTTCGATTTTTCTTTTAAAAATAGCCGAGAATCCAAATTTTCGCCCATTTTCCTCAAAATTTTTTTTAATTAAATCCCTAAATAATTTTTACCCATTTTTATTAATATTATTTTATTATTTTCCTTAAAATAAAATAAAATAAAATAAATTAAATTAAATTCTATTAATACTTATTTATATTTATATAGAATAAAATAAAATAAAAAAAAGTTAAAAAAAATAATAAAAATAAAAAAGGAATTTCTTGGGTGTTACAACTTTTCCCCCCTTAAAAGAAACTTGGTCCCTCAAATTTGGCTCTTACTCTCGATCAAACAACTGGGGGTACTAGGCTCTAAAGTCTAATTCTAGCTCCCATGTAGCCTCCCTTGGTGTGTGGTTCTGCCATACGACTTTTACAAAGGATATTTCTCGGTTGCGGAGTAATCTACTCTTTCGATCTGTAATGCTGACTGATACTTCCTCATAGGATAAGTCCTCCTGGAGTGGGAGGGGTTCGTGGGCCAAGACATTAGAGGGGTCCGGGTTGTACTTGCATAGCATGGACACATAAAACACATTGTGGACCTTAGAAAGTTTTGGAGGTAGTGCTAGTTTATAGGCGGCGGTACCAATCATGTCTAAGACTTTAAACGGTTCAATAAATCGGGGGTTCAATTTTCCCCTACTGCCGAACCTATTAATTCTCTTTAAAGGAGTGACTTTAATGAACATCCGGTTGGCTTTCTCAAATGCCAAATCTCTCCTCCGGGTGTCCGCGTAACTCTTCTGCCTGCTCTGAGCTGTCTGAATGTTCCTCATGATCTTAACTATCTTGGATGTGGTCTCCTCTACCAGCTCCGGGCTGAACAATTTTTTATCGCCCACTTTTTCTCAACAAATCGGCGATCTGCATGGGCGCCGATATAACGCCTCATACGGAGCTATGCCAATGCTCGCTTGGTAGCTGTTGTTGTACGCAAACTCTATAAGGGGTAGATGTTCGTCCCAATGGCCCTCAAAGTCAAGGACATAAGCTCAAAACATATCCTCAAGTGTACGGATTATCCTTTCTGATTGTTGATCAGTCCGAGGGTGGAAGGTAGTACTGAGGGATAGCTTCGTTCCCATGGCTTGCTGAAAGCTACTCCAAAATCGAG